AATAGAAAGAACAAAAAATCACCCAAAAATAGAAAACAGGGACAGTTCGAGATTAACAAAGGAAAAAAAAAAAAAGCATAGAGCAAAAAAGAACAAATTTTTTTTTTTTGAAAAATAGTAAAATTGAGTGTAGGGATCATGTAATGGGATGAATCAAGAAAAAATCACACCATATTTCAATGGATTTGAATGCAAAACGAGAGAGAAATCCATGTTTAGGCAGATTTGTTCAAAATGCATCTCGTTTCACCAAAAACTACTGAATAAATCCCCAATCATAAGTTTTGATCCAAATCAATCGAAAAACAGAGCAAAAAAACCCTAATCATTAACATAAATCACTACATTGAGAATAATCATGAAAAAAAAATACAACTTATCAGTTAACAGAGAATGAATTTTTTTGCGGGTTTATCAGTGAGTTACAAATTAACATTTAACATAAAATAATACAAATTAACATTGGGTTTATTTGCTTAATAAACAGTAAAAAAAGAAGTAAAAACTCACCGATTTTTGCGGATTATCTTCTTTGTGATGCTTTTCAACACCGCATTTTAGCGCTAAGCCACATGATGATTTCTATTGCTAAAATATATTATACTCTCGCAGGACTCAAAATTCAATTCTTTTTCTTTTGATAATAATAATATAGTGATTCTTGGGGGGTTCCCAAAATTTCATATTAAAAAAAAAAAATCTCCCAAATAAGTCTTATAGGAGCAAATGAAAATACTATGCTCGTGCGCTCATTTCCATTTATCTTGTTTATTAAACAATGGAAAATAACTTATTTTTCAATAGTAAAAAGAAAGTGAAAAACATTCGCTTATATTTCACAATCTAGGTTTCCATTGAAACCATGATAACTAAGTGTGCTTATCCTCAATCAACTAAGACCCTGAGCCACCAATTTCTCTCGACCCAGGATGGACATCAAAACTGAGTTCGGTTTGGGTCCACCATGTGGGTTTTAGATTTGGGCTCGACTGGCTTTTTAGCTCATTATAAACGAGACGACCTAAACTGGAGAAAAGTACAATGAATGACCATATTTGCATGTGAATAAATTTTAATATGAAAAAAATTAGGAATTCAATGGACTCCAAATCTACAGTCACGTGGGTCTCATCTAGGTGCTTTAAAAATTAAAAGTGAGTTCACCAAAAAAAAAAAGAAGAGGTCAAACCTCAAATTGATCATCATGACATTGAGATGTATAGACATACAAAAAAAATGAAGTATTAAAAATAGTGCATCTTATAATCATTATCTGGACAATTCATTTTTAAGAATCACAGCGGGTTACACATCTACTCAATCTGCATTGTTTTAGAGTTTTAAATTTCATGAGTGGTGGAAATAAATTTTCAAGACATAAAGGTTTAAAGTACCAAAAATTGCATCTTTTTATTGGAAGTACTCAGTTTAAAACACTGATATATACCCATTGATGCTCGAGCCTATTAATGGGCTCTAGGTAAGAACGGTCGTGAATCCGAGTCACGGGGTTGAATCCAAGTCCAGACATGGTGAGCTGGTGTAGATCTGACCCATTTACATCCCTATATCAATTAACAACCATTACCCATATTTTTCAAACGTTTCTCATGATTGTGAGCAATTAGGAAATGTTTCTCTCTGAATTGGGCACATTGCAAGGCTGCATTTGGTTCATATAAATTTCTCTATAACTGCCTAATGTAGCCATCTATCTCTCTTTTTTTTTTTTAGTAATTAAGGGAATGGGCTCTTATCTATTTTTGAAATCGTTAATGGTTTTTTAATACGTTAAGTGATAATGGAAATCTAGATCTTAGCTGGAGCATAAATAATTCTACTATGACTCCAACCCATTCGCAACACGACCTCTCTCTTTCTCTTTCTCTCATCTTGTGCCACATAGATCTCTCTCTCATCTTGTGCCACATAGAGATCTTCCATTTTGAGTGATTGTTATTTTGTATATCATGATGATGATGTAATGGGTGAGAACTCATTAACTTGCACATGGATAAATAGGTTTATGGGGTGTCTAAAATAAAAGATGCCACATGGGAAGAATCCCCTATGAAAGGAAGATAAAGAGCATACAATGACCTTTCAATGAAAAGGAAAAGGGCAAAACGACCTAAGAGAGAGAAACTCCTTCAACATATGACACAAGAGAGAGAATGTGTCCTTCAACATATGAGACAAGACAGAGAGAGTGTGTGTCCTTCAATATATGGGGTAGAGAAATGAGATCCATGGTAGTAATAAAATGATGGGATTGTATACAATAAGATATTTATCTATAATGCAATTAGGTCATAATTATTTACCATTATATGTAAAATTTGATAGTTTGGATGTATGACAAAGTTCGAAAAAATTTATTTTGAGGTTCGAACTCTGTCAATAGAATAAATGCAGCCACCCAATTTTACATCCAATGGTCAAAATTAGTTGTGACCAATTTGTACTAAAGGTAAATGGCTTCATGATATACTTTTCCTTGTTTTATAGATTCAATATTCAGTTCAAGATGATCATGGATAGGAAAAGAAAAATAATTTTTTTAAAATAAAATATAATTTTTTGGTTTTGGTGTGCACCATTCACATGTTGTTTATATGCAGTAGTACACTTTAGTCGATGTCGACCTTTAAGTTGGACGTTTGTGAGTAAGTGGGCCTACTCATACAACAATTTTCCTTTTAAAAATTTTAAATTTTATAATTAAGTTGAACATGAACTTTCAAGGTAAAGTTCCCAATATGACAACTAACTATTTCAGCGAAATTTAGAAGTACGCCTTAGTCTTTTTTTTTTTCTTTGAACATTAACATAACCTTTTTATTAAAATAAAAAAGGGATTACAAGGTTTACAATAAAATACTGTAGAGTCATGGGAAGAAATTGATTACCAAGGAAGGGGAATTAAATCCCCCTGAGCCAAATGATCTTCTTCCGCATTAGCCTCTCGATAATAATGCCACATATCAGCATTTAATGACGATAAATTATTCTTGATATGATGAAACAAAGTCCTTAACCTCGATAAAACATTGAATTCTTATCGGCTTCAAGCTATAACATTCATTGAGTCTCCTTCAATAATCTTACCACCTCCCTATTTAGAAAGTTGTTTCAATCCCTCTAATAGACTGCGAGCCTCGGCTTCATTTCTAATAGAAGTACACCTTACTCGTATCGTATAAGTTGGTCACGTTGCATAAACCCCACCTTTTTCTATCATTGGTCACCTCGTTATTTCCTATCTTCTCTCACTTTATTTTTGGGGCATTGAAATTACTGATTATAAATAAAGCCGGCCATGGCCGAGTGGTCCGCTCAGCTCTAAAAAGTAGCGCCCGAGCAACAAAATGCGGCCGGAAGGTCAAGCTGGGTCTAGTCATAGCCATGACAGAGCTAGCCTATTTCGACCCTTATTTTTTTCTTTTGAAATCGTTTTGTATTATTTTTTTAAAAATTTTCCAGCAAGGGCTAAGGCCTGGAGTGGCCGTCTTTGGCCCGATTATGGGCCATATAGGCCGGGCCCGTTGCTAACCCTAGGGGAGAGAAGAGAGAAAGAGAGTTATTACTCGAGGGGTATAATCGCTAAATCCTCCTCAAATGAGGTATTACAGTAACTTTCGGAAAAGATCTTGGCCATTTCGTCATTTCATAAAATATTTTGTCTAATTCAGTCATTTCTTAGCTCTTAAACCTCTCTGTCCGTACACAAACGACTCCATCGACGGTCAAAAATCCGAATATTCTGACTAAACAAGATCCGACGGTCCAAATTTTTCTAAACCTTCACGAAGCCCTCTCCATCAAATGTGTCAAACTAGGGTTTTAGTTTTTTCTTCTACAAAAACTTGGCTCGCAATTCACTTCAACTTTTTACTTCCATTTTCTTTCTCAATTTTCAGAGCAATTTTTCTTTAGCCATGGGAAAGGGACCTGGCCTTTACTCTGAAATTGGAAAGAAGGCGAGAGGTGAGCTCCATTTCCTCTGTTTTTTTTCCTCTTTTGGGGTTTTTTTTTGTTAATTTTTCATGTATTATTGATTCTCCATGACTGTTTTTTCCTTTTTCTGATAATCTCAGATTTATGTTCAGTTCTAATTTTCATAGTTTGTTTTTTTTCTGATAATCTCAGATTTATGTTCAGTTCTAATTTTCATAGTTTGTTTCCATTTCGTATGGTAGTTTCCTGTGCCGCTGCCCGCTGGTTCATGAAAGGATTTTATACATTTTTCCATTTCTCTGTTGTTTCAATTTTCACGTTCGTTTTTTTTTTCTTCATGTTATTGTGATAATTATCAATCTAATTCTACTTTTCATATTCAATTTATGCTATATTATTGCAGATATTACATTTTTTTTGCATATATTCACTTTTCCTATGTTAATTTTGTTCAAATATCTTTCCTTTTTTGCCAAAATAACTGTTTATTTTACTGTTTTATCTGCAAAATCAAATGTTCTCTTCGGTTTTTATTTCACGCATCCATCCCTCGCCTCTTTTTTTTATGTTAGTTAAATTCGTTTAATTTATTGCTTTTCACAATATGAAGATTTATATAGTTTTGAGTGTTTCAGTCAGATTTTGTATTATATTTATAATTTTTCATCACAGATCTTCTTTACAAGGATTACCACAGTGACCAGAAATTCATTCTTACTACTTACACGTCCACTGGAGTGGTGAGTCCCCTTCCCAGTGCTTTTTTTTGGGTGTTTTGTTCCTTGAGCTCTGTATATTTCATTCAGAGATTGCTTTTTTGTATACTTTAGCTTTGCATTTTATCACCTTACTGTGACAGATGATCAGACAAATATTTATGTTCTGTGTGACCTTGCATGATTACATGTGTTTGTATGTGTGAAATATTGTAAATTAATGAATGTTATCTCTGTTACTTGTGCTGTATATCTTGCAAGTTTTTTTTTGAAATGATTGTTATAATGTTACGATGTAAGATATTCCCAATGACTTATGCAATCTTTAGGTGAATAGCTGCTACATCACGGTCGTTTATCTCAGGGTGAGATATATTCCATTACACCCACTCACTCTCATTCTATGTCACCACAGTGACGAGTGCCCAAATCTGATGCGTTTCTAAGTGTCAGATGCAGCAGCCTAATATCGAGACACAGGAAGACACATCCATATGATAAAATAATAGATGTTTGATCTATCTATAGTAATATTTCATATTTATTACACTCGTATGCAGTGTTCTATAGTTATGGACTTTGCCGAGTGGGATTTGGGACCTTGCGAGTCCCAGAGTCCTTGCCTTGTATTTGGACATAGCTTACATGTGGTTGGTGCATTGATAGTCTGTATGAACATCGCACAAGATGTCTTGCATTCAATCGCCAGCGCTGTTCTTCCGTGAGCATTTAGTTGTCCCCTGTGTCCTGAAGTTTAGACATGGTATCCAAATGTTGAGACGTGGAACAGCAGCAGGAATGAAGTGACTGGGGTAACATTGCTTTAGGCCTTAGAAATACAATTTCATTTTTTTAAAGTGTTTATGCTTATGTAGAGAACAAAAGCATGTGGCATTTTTTTGGAGACCTTTTAATGCTACTCTTAATTATGAAAGATTGTCTAGTGGATAGATTCTCATTTCAAAGTGGTAGTGATTGTTTGATTGAGTCATTTGGGACCAGCCATTTGTGTGCATCATTAATCATTTTTGGTGATTATCATCATTTGTTATTGAGTTTCTCTTTCCATAGCATTCATGTATAATTGTCACATGTTGTAGGTTATAAACTCTTTTACTGTCGTATGAAACCAGTTACAATAATTTGTATTTAGCTCTGCTGTTTCCGTCTTATTTAACTGTCTATGCATAATAATGTTCTCTGGTAGGAAAGGAAGTATTCTCTGTGTCCTTATTTGTATAACTTTTTTTTAATGTGGGCTATCTTAATGTGGGCTATTAGCGATCTTTCATATAAAAGCATGCCATTAGTGGGGGCTTAGTTTTTTGTCTCTTGTTCCCAAGATGAACTGTATTGGAGTTATCTCAAATTCTGATGCGGAGACACTGCATTTTATATATCTATTTGGATATTTGCCACCTTTTTTGCTTTCTATGAATGGAGCCAATAGGTATTCTATGCTGCATTTCATTTTATTGTTTTCTTTTTATAATCAATAACATGTGCTTTTATTTCTATGGATGAAATCTTAATATGTATGTATACAAGAACTGACTCCTTTCATCTTCTCGGATATAACACCTTCATGTATATGAACTTTATTGGATTTCTTGGATATGAATTAATATTGAAGAACTTATGCACATGATACCATTGCCACTTAACATGCTATGTTAGACATGATAGCATGGTCACATCCTATGTTATCTTTCTATCTTGTACTTGCGATTTTACTCTTTATAGATATCTAATCCATAAAAAAGAAGGTTAAAATAATCGAACAAATTTTGCGGCTGCAATCTGTTGATTGTTTATCTGGACTTTGAGATGTTGTAGGAATATGTATCCGGATTGGTTCCACCTAAATTAGTTTCTGTTGTGTTGTGGCTAAATATTTATTGCCAGTGGAGCAAACTTTCTTTTTGTAGTTTTGGTGTTGGTTATGTTTTGATTCACGTATGGTTTATGCTAATATTTGTTTGTTTTACAGGCAATTACGTCATCAGGAACAAAGAAAGGAGATCTGTTTCTTGCTGATGTTACAACTCAGCTGAAAAATAAGAATGTCACTACTGACATCAAAGTGGACACAAACTCTAATGTGAGTTGTTGTATCTCATGAGTATGTATAAGACTAATTTTTTAGTATCTTGCTTTTGTAAGTTTTTACTAATTACTTCACGATTCTGATCATTACAGTTCCTTTTTTGTTGTCAATGAATTATTTCAAGAGTTGTTAAGGGAACGTGTCATTGAGAATGACTGCAGTGGCTAATTTTTATGTTCATTTATATCAGCTTTCCACAACTATTACAGTGGATGAAGCCGCACCTGGACTCAAAACAATATTTAGCTGTATCTTCCCTGATCAGAGGTCTGGAAAGGTATGGACTATGGGATCTTTCTTGTCTCTCTTTTTGTAAAATACTGGTCTTATGTCCAATATTTATTGTTCTGGGAAAATCTCTCTTCTGATATTACAGTATTACCAGAAGGATCAGAGTTCATTGATCGAATTGAGATATTTGGTGTTGGAAATTAAATTGATTCCATGTCCATACTCATGTTGGGCTTGGATTGGCCCATTCTGGACTAGAATCAACTTGGAAAAAAGTGTATGGAATTTAGTAAAAAAGTAAAAATTATTAATGTGGATACTTTATGTCAGACTTGAGCATGTTGACTTTTTTAATGTCCTTCCTCCATCGTGTTGCTTCATAGTCCACCAAGTTCAGCTAACTTTGCACTCAGCCAAAGCTGGCATGCAGAGAGTCATGCATGAAGCAATTAATTAACCCCCCACCCCCTCGGGCCCTTTTTCTCCTCTCTCAACCAAAAGAAAAAAAAAAGTCATTCGTGGGACTTTATCCTTGGTGCAGATATACATTATCCTTGGTGCTGATATACATTTTTTTCTTTTCTAAAAATACGAAAATCTTGTCAACCGGTAAAAGTTATACATATTTATGAATTAAAACGATGAACAATGGTCTCATGAATAAATGAATACTTGTCTAGTCTTGAGACTGATGCTACCTTAAGAATTCACGATTTTTTTTATTTTTTGCAAGCTTTATGCCTTTCTAACTGTTATCAAGAAGCAGTCTTTCGCCATCTAGCATCATTTATTGTCTCTCATGGTATGTTTGGTACACTGAATTGTTTTTAGTTGACATTTTTTAGTTACACTCAGTGGCGCATGAACTTGACCATGCTCTCCTTTCATTATGTATAGCCTTGTGTGTTTATCTTGCTGTTGTCTCTTCGATATGCCTATAATGTTCCAGATTATTAGAACGTTGCATACACGTCTTTGTGATTCTAATGCTTCTATTATCTTAATCATGGTTAGAATGACTAGTAATGGAAATTATGGCTATTATACTGAAACAGTTCCTATCCATGACCTTATACAAAGGTTATGGGTGGTGGTGTAAATAATGGGCTTTAAGTCTGATATAATGAATTACACCCTTTTGATTGGGTTTTAATTTCTTTTTTTTCTTTACAAGTGTTATTGGTGGGAATGGAGCCTAGGACACTAGGCATTACCCCCCCAGTCCCCCCCCCCAAGAGTCAACAAGTAAGGTCACAAAACAGAAAAATGTTGACTTTTTAATGTCCTTCCTCCTCCATCGTGTTGCTTCATGATCCACCAAGTTCAGCTAACTTTGCACTCAGCCAAAGGGCATGCAAAAGTCATGCATGAACCAATTAATCAAACCCCAAACCCCAGCCCCCCCCCCCCCGCAGGCCCTTTTTCTCCTCTCTCAACCAAAAGAAAAAAAAGTCATTCGTGGGGTACTGCAAGAAATTGTCCTGGGTGCAGATATCCATTTTTGTTCTTTTCTAAATATACTAAAATCTTGGCAACCGGTATAATTTAAGTTATACATATTTATAAATTAAAACAAGGAACAATTGTCCTGGGTGCAGATTTATTTTTTGCAAGCTTTATGCCTTTCTAACTGTTATCAAGAATCGATCTTTTGCCATCTAGCATCATTTATTATATCCCATGGCATGTTTTCGTGCACTGAATTGTTTTTAGTTGACATTTTTTAGTTACACTTAGTGGCGCATGAACTTGACAATGGTCTCCTCTCATTATGTACAGTCTTGTGTGCTTATCTTGCTGTTGTCTCTTCGATATGCCTATAATGTTGCAGATTATTAAATCTTTGCATACACGTCTTTGTGTATCTGATGCTTCTATTATTTTAATCATGGTTAGAATGACCAGTAATGGAAATTATGGCCATTATACTGTAACAGTTCCTAGACATGACCTTATGCAAAGGTTATGGCTGGCAGCCTAAATAATAGGCTTTAAGTCTGATATAATGATTTACACCCTTTTTATTGGGTTTTAATTTCATTTTTTTATTTTTAAGTGTTAATGGTGGAAATGGAGCCTAGGACATTATGTTGAGGCATCAACTGCCCCGGCCCAAGAGTCAACAAGTAACATCATAAAACAGAAAAATGACCATTACTTTTTATTTTGCAAAGATAAAATTATACATTTTAAAATGTATCACTGTAGCTTTCTCAAAATTTTCCTTTATTTCTGTTGTTTCCCTTTTATCCATTTCTTCTCCCTTTTGGTTGAATGCTTTTTTTCCTTCTAAGGGCCAGCTTAGTTGTACAATGGAGAAGGACAAGCCCTATCCCATTTTATTATGGACATTCTCCCAACCATTTAAACTTGCGAAATTTATTATTCTAATTTCTTTTTGTGGATATTATGATTTGTGCTAGCAGTGGATGTTGGGAGGGAGGGGGATGAAGCAATTTTTCAGGGATTATCTTTCTGACTTCTTGATGATTATTTGTCCTATACAGGTTGAGCTTCAATACCTCCATGATTATGCAGGGATCAGTTCAAGTATTGGCTTGACTGCTACCCCCATTGTGAACTTCTCCGGTGTGCTTGGAAATGAAACTTTCGCCCTTGGAACCGACGTCGCATTTGACACTGCCACTTCTAAGCTTACCAAGTGCAATGCTGGATTTAGCTTTACCACTTCTGATCTCATTGCTGCAGCCACTGTGTAAGTGATTTTTCAGAATATATCTGCATTCTGGCTTCTTGTCATTGGAAATTTGATTTTATTTTTGCATGCTGGGCTGCTTCAGTGGAGTATCTTAGCTAGATGGATGTTTATTAGGATAATTACTTGTGTCTATATTGATAGTAAACATTATCTTATTTGTTCTATTGGTTTCTAGTGTATATTTTTGTTTATTGTTATCATCTGTACTCTATGTGCTACACTGGCATAATTGTGATTCTTTTTCTTGATTGATTCCTACAATGTTTTAGTGTAGTAGTAGTGTTACATGGGAAAAGAAATCGATGTGACAAGGACAGAAAGACTGTAACATGAAAGGAAAAAGATTGAGCAGAAAGCAAATGGAAATTGTTGTAACATGGGCAAGAAATCATAGAATACTGAAAAATTATGAAATGCAGGATAAATGTTGAGTTGTCTTGATATTTTCAGGTTAGGAGAAAGCTGTAGTTGAGCGTGATTGTATAGAATTGGTTGACACTTGGGGTCAATGTTCTCTACGCAAATGCAAGTGCCGACTGGCAAAATAGAAAAGATAGTGATCTTTGCCTTTGTGGGATGGTGGATGGAGTTCCTTAAAATATGTCAGTGTCTTCCTTCTTTGGTTTAATGGGGCATGTGATAATGTTACTTGATATTTCTATGGTTCGTGTCTCTACATCATCAGGTGAACTTTGAAGAAGAGACCACTGTTCAAGGGCTTCAACAAAAGTATTCAAAAAAAAAAAAAAAAACCTCATTTGAAGATTTCGTGAAAAAGACCAATTATAAGTGAGGACTTGTCTGAAAATATAAGAGCCAAAAAAAAAAATCCTATTATGGAGTTTAGTGCATCTTGCTGCCATGGAGAATTTCGAATGGAAGGTTGCGCATTTGACTGAATGGGGAATCCTATGTAAGGAAATCTACTTGTGCTGCATGAGATTATATTGTGAGCAGATAATTATTTAAAGGAAAGAATTTATATAAGGTGGACACTCTAAATTGTAGAATTAAGGAGCAGCTCCAAAATCCTTTGCAAAAGGTTGCTTTGATGTTGGATAAACATCTAGTTGATCAGCCCGACATCAATATGTATAGATATGGACAAGAAAAGAGATTTCAAGTCTTAAAAATAGTGCATCTTGCAACACATTCTTTGGACCATCCATTTTCAAGATTTTCATATGCTTATAGATGTACTTGATTTGAACCATTTTTTGAGTTACAAATTTTATAATTAGAGATAAAACTAGATTCTCATACCATCCTAAGAATTTTTTACCCCAAAGTTGCATCTCAGACAAAGTTTGGAGATGCACCTTACTTCGACTTTAAGGTTGCTACCTTATGCAAACCACACCCTTATTTAAAGGACGAGGTTTCTATGAGTCTATTGACTCACCTATTTAAACGAGGGAAAAGTCTATATAAGGTGTCAACCTTATACTGTAGTTAGGTGCACCTAGGAAACCCACTAGAGAAGGTTGTTCCTATGCTAGAAAACCCTCAAATCAATCATCTTGACCTCGAGATTCATAGGCATGAAAAAAAGAGAGGGAATTTCTAGTCCTAAAAATAAGATCATCTTCTAAGACATTATCTGGACTGTCCATTTTCAAGATTTTCCATTGTTTATAGATCTGCTTGATCATCACCATTTCTAGAACTTTAAATTTTATGGAATGTCTCAACCTTGATAAGGAGGAACCTAAGAAAAAATTTCAAAATAAAAAGAACAATGTTTTTTTGACATAGTTTAACATCGTCCATTTTGTAGGGCTACCATTTTCTAACATCCATCTCCAAGATGGATGTTAGAAGATGGATGTTAGAAGTGGGTCCCCTGACACACAAACTACTTTCCTTATTTAGAAGTTTATTGTGATATACAGGGAATCTCATCTATCGTATGATTAAATCTGATGTAAGATTCCTGTTTGAGTGGGAAATTGGGTTTGGTAGCCTTGTCCTTGATATGTGTAGCTTGGTATATTAGCATCCCACGTGAGATATCATGTTGAAATGTATATTCCCCCCCTGCCCTGCTTTGAGAGTTCCTTTTTTTTTTGTGCATGAGAGAGAGAGAGAGAGAGAGAGAGAGAGAGAGAGAGTATTACTTTATTTATAGTAAGTAACTACTATATAGTTAGTTAATTAGTTGGTTTGGTTTAGGTTAGTACGTAACTAATTAAACGTACCGTACGTACGTTTAGTTTTAAGTTTAA